AGTGAAAATCATTAACAGGCAATCATTCGATGGGCTGAATTGCACAAAACGCATGATCGCACCGGCAGTCTGGTGCGCATTGCCATTTATTTTTTTTTTTTTTGATGAGTTCTGAACCACGAAATTGGAGAAATTGAACAAATGGCTGGGCGCACACACACATAAACAAGCAAACCCGGCAGGATCACGTAAACATGCTTTCTCTATGATTACATAAGTGCAAGAGGACGTAAAATGCGGCCCCGTTCGCAGTAGAAGAAAGGTGGCAAATATTCAGAAATTTTTGAGTCCGCAACAAACTTGAAAAGGACTGTAGGAAGCAAACCACAGCAGGCCTAAAAAGGACTGTAGGAAGTGAAACTTCTGTGTGAATTTTTCGAAATGCAAATGTCTGTTTAGAAGCTTATTCTTTCCTTTTGTCTTTCCTGGAATCCGTGATTCGCTATAAATTGTTAGTGCTGTTAGCTTACTTTTTCCTAAACTACACTTTTTTTTACTTAAAAGAAGGCTTTAAAATTCTGCAGTCGTGCATATCTGAAATTTCATTCCTTTTCTTTCTAATGGATTGCTGTCGACGGCTTTTTGGAAGTGACTGCAACATATAATCAAGAAACACAGATTTCGAAACTAGTAAACCTAACTACATAATTTCGGTTGGGGAATGAATTAGATTGCAAAGCTAAAGTTCGTATAATAATCCTCTAATTTGGTACAGATCAGTTCAGATACAGTGATAAGCACATACGATTGGTCGATCACAAGCAGACTAGAGGGGTTTATGATTTTTGTAAAAAACGCTGACAGTGTAGTCGTGGTGTTCAAAGTATGCAACCACGTAACTACGATTCTGGCGCTTTATGGTTTCGTAATATTTCATCGTAAAATTTGCTGGTGAGGCATTTTTGCAGTATCCGAGTCCTGAATGGGATACAGTTACTCCCGAAGCGAAGAATCTCATCGATAATATGTTGACGGTCAATCCGAAGAAGCGAATAACCGCAGAACAAGCACTGAAAGTTCCTTGGATCTGCGTAAGTTGTAGTTTTTCTGGAGTGATAGCTAACTTCATTTATTCTTAGACATAGCCATAGGCTAGAACGAATTTGTGACTCTTTTTGCACGTCATATGTCCTCCGGCAAACAAGCAGTTTGCATTAATTAAAACATAAGAACAGCAAGAGAAAATGAAATAACTTGTAGTAATTCAGCAAGCAGCGACGTCATCACACTTCCAGTTACTGGATTTCCCGTGCCCTTGCTCATTTCTCTAACCTTGATTAACCCAAAGATCCACTTCGTATTTCTCCATGCAGTGATCTTGCTGTGCTCGTCGAAAAACACAAATAACCAACAAAAATTTTGAGAAAATTTCCATCCTGCACTGTCAGCAATCAGTGGAGTGGGGAGGGGGGTGCATTCTTTCACGAATATTTTTTTAAAATTTTTATCCTAGGATGTTTTTAGAATCGTGAACGTGTTGCTTCAGTAATGCATCGCCAGGATACAGTGGACTGCCTGAAGAAATTCAATGCTAGGCGAAAATTGAAGGTATTTCTTTTCGAAATATATTGTAACTAATGCGACTTTTTCAAGTGAACATTTAATGATCCTGACAGTTTCAAAGAAACGACAGCATTAATCGTTTCTTTTACAAAAAAAGTTGGGTTTCAAAGCCGTTTCAGCTTGCCCTGCAAGCCTTCCTTAGCTAGGTGCAAATTTCGAAATGCATTCATACGCTGCACAATGGAACTTCGTGGGTCAACAGTGCAGAAGAAAAAGCACGGCTTATCACATAAGGATTAATAAGACAAAAGGAGAAAACTACACGATATGATATCTACAACTTGGGCTAAAATACAGGCCGAAAGAATTTTAACAACCCAATTAACCAAAATAATT